CCTTCAGCTATCAAAACATCTCCAATCTTAAAATAATTTTCTTCTATGCCCAGCAGTCATCCCATTTCTCATAGCAAAACTCCTTGAGAGGGTTGTCTGTCTTGGTTGTCTCTCCTTCCTCACTTTTCATTCTGACTTAAACCCTCTCTCCTTGGTCTCCTGCCCACAGATTTCGCTGAAACCGCCCTTGTCATAGTTGACAGTGATCTCCATCTTGCCAAGTCTTGTGGTCAATTCTCTATCTTTATTTTGCTCATGTGACCTCGTTAACTGTTCCCTCCCACTTGAAAAAAATTGTCTCTCTAATCTTCCATGTACTGCACTTTCCTGATATTTTCTCCTGCTCGCTGGACAGTAACCCCTACTGACTTTTTTCTTCTCAGTCTCTAATCTTTAGAGACTAAAGATTAGACTCTTTAGTCTAATCTAAAGAAAGAAATCTAACTAAAGAAAGACTAAAGGCCTAATAGAAATAAAACATGAGCTACCTATGTGATTTAAAATTTCCCAGTATTTAATTTCTACATTCAAAAAGTAAAAAGAAATAGGCGAGACCAATTATAACAACATATTTTAATTAAGTCACAATATTCCCAAATATCATTTCAATAAGTAATAAATAATGAGATATTTTAATAATTAATGAGATAGCTTCTGTTCTTTAGATATATACTTAACCTTCACAATCTGATGGGTATTTTGCACTTAAGAGTGTGTTTCAGTTTTGAGCAGCATATTTTGAAGTTCAAAAGGCAGTAGTGGCTATTAGTGCACCATGCTGGATGGTGCAGCGCTAAATGCAGGAGTGGCTCAGTGCTCAGTCCTGAAGCCACGAGCAGTCTTTCTGGACCTAGGTGAGCATATGTTATCAGTGTCCCGTAAGTATTTATCGGGTGCATGATACGGGCCAGGCTACTGTGTTCTAGGTAGCGGGGGACACAATAGTGAACAAAACCGTCATAAATCCCCACCCTAATAGAGCCTATTTTCTAGTAAGAAAGAGCAGACACTAAACAACATAACCGAGTTTATTATATGGCAAAATAGAAGGTGAGAAGCGCTATGGCAGAGACAGAGGGGTGGTCGAAAAGAGGAAAATGAAGTTAGAGAGGCAAAGAAGGGGTCAGATGATGTAGGACTTTTTTGTGTGCTATTGAAAAAACTATCACCTTGAGCTGAGGAACCATTAGAACGCTTTATACAAAGAAACACATGATAGAACTCAAACTGTGAAAATGCTTTTGGCTGCTTTTTTGAGAATATACAATAGAAGGTCAGGGGAGAAACACTGTGACCAGATAGGCAGCTGCTGCAATAATCTGAGCTGGAGAGGACAGGGGCTTTGATCCGTTACCTGAGAAGTAGTGAAAAGTTATCCGGTTCAGGCCAGATATACCATATAAATATGGGAATCAACACATATCTACTTTGTCCAATGGGGTAACTACTGGCCACATATTGCTATTTAAATTAAAGTTAATTAAAATAAAGTAAAATAAAAATTCAGCTCCTCAGTGACACCAGCTGTATTTCAAGGGCTCAAAATCCACTCGTGGTAAGCGTTATTGCAGTAGACAGTACTGCTATAGAACGTTTTCCATTCTCGATGAAAGTTCTATTGGGCAACATTGATACAGATGACATTTAAGAGGTTTTTTTTTTTTGACATTTAAGAGTTTTATCTTCCTGTCTCTCAATCAACTGCCTGCTAGATGTCTCCACTGAATAATTAGATTATTGTTATACTAAGAGATGTCCAATAATCATCGAATACACAACATGGTCAATATTCTTGATTCCAGTCTTCATCTCTCTGTCTACTTCGACTTCACTTTTGCCATTCTCATAAATGCGATCACCATCTATACTACTGTACCAACTGCGAGGTCATTCCTCATTTCTATCTTTCTCTCCCCACCCACCTCTGTCACTTCTAATCCATTAGCAGGTTGATTTGCTTCTACCTCCATGACACAGCCTGAGTGTGACTGCCTCTTAGCATCTGCACTTCTATCACACCATTTTTCACTCAACAATTGAGATGGCTTCTAAATTAGTGTTTTTCAACTCTTACAATACAGTAGAGTCACCCAGGCATTTAGAACCAAGACAAAGCAACGATAAACAATGCCTGGTTGCTACTCCATGCCCACAGGTGGGACTTGGCTTTATAAAAGCTTCCCAGAGGCAAGGCGCGCTGGAGACCACTTTTATTTTGTCTTCCTCCATCACTTCCCATTGTCCATTTGCCACATAAGAGGCAGAGTGACCTTTCTAAATAATAAACCAGATCATGTTACTCCCTTGCCTGGAACTTTCTCAGGATCTCTCATTGTTCTGAAAAGAATTTGGAGCTCCTGACCCTCTAAAATCAGACCCAGAATGTTCCTCCAGCCTGCTTTGCTTGGCAAACCCCAGTGATCGTCACTTCCTCTGGGAGGTGCTCTGTGCATCTTATCTGAACCAGCCCTCCTCTCCTTTTCCAGCACCTTTCTCAGTCACTCTTCTTCCCAATTCCCTGGTTTATTTTCTTTTTGGAATCCACTGCTTTCTGAAATTGTTACCAAATGCAAGTTCGTGTGCCCAACACATTGTGAGGCGAAACGTCGGAGTTTGGAACAGAGAAAGGTTTACTGCAGGACCATGCAAGAAAAAAATGGGCTCATGTACCCCCAAACCCCAAATTCCAGAAGGGTTTTAGCAAAGCAGTTTTAAAAATCAGGTGAGGGAGGGAGGTCGCAGAGTCTGTGATCATTTGGTGTACGGTTCTCTGATTGGTTGATGGTGCGGTAAAAGGGTGGTTAACATTATCTGCCTGTAGGTCTAGAGGCTTTGTTAGTAGTTGGGCTTGCCTGGTGGCTCAGATGGTAAGGAATCTGCCTGCAAGTGGGAGACATGGGTTTGACCCCTGAATTGGGATGATCCCCTGGAGAAGGGAATGGCTACCCACTCCAGTATGGTTTAACATTATCTACCTGTAGGTCTAGGGGTTACATGCTCATGATCATCGAGTTGTCAATTTCTTCCATTTGGTGGTAGTTTTTAGCATATGAAAAACTCAGAAAATACGCATGAGGTACTATTATCTGGGTACCTAAGAGAGGAACTACCGCAGAGGATATGGGGGAGAGGTCTGTCCAGGGAGGCTCCGTAGGTTTCTGCTTGGTTACACAATGATCATATTTAATACTTTTCTGATCTGTTGTTTATCTCCCAGACTAGAACATATAGTCCATGAGAACAAGGAACTTTCATCTTTTTATTGCCAACATTAAAACAGAACTTGGCAATGAATAAGTATCTTTGAATGCCTCCATTCAGTTCCTTCATTTTCAGGGAAAAGGCAGTGATTACAACGATCATAAAAACGTACATAGGAATAGCTATGACTTACAGAGTGCTTACCCTGTGCTAGGCACTGTGTTTATTTCAATACACCCATTTTGCAGATAGGAACACTGGGCTTTAGAAAGGCAGAGTAACTTGATTGGGACTGAAACAAGAGTGAAGGGGGCAGGGCACAACCTTTAAAAGAATGACATAGCCATGAGACATGACAAAACCTGGTTAGAACCAATCAGGACCAAGATGGTGGAAGATTTGGTTTCCAGTGGACCTGGAGCATCATCATATGCTCACTGAAATCTCCGCCCCTTCCTTGAAATAATCCTCCCATTCATTAGCTTATGAAATTGTGTGTGTGCTAAATTGTCTCAGTTGTCGACTGTGCAACCCTATGGACTGTAGCCCGCCGGGTTCCTCTGTCTATGGGATTCTCTAGGCAAAAATATGGGAGTGGGTTGCCATTTAATTACCCCACCCATAAAAACTAGCCACACCATATTTCAGGGCCTCCCACCTCCTCAGTTGGCTCAAACTCTGTCTGTGGGGTGTATTTCTCTCTAAATAAATCCACTCCTTACCTATCACTTTGTCTCTCACTGAATTCTTTCTGTATGAAACATCAAGAACCTCAAACTCACCAGGAAAAGGGCCACCAAGGTGGTAAGTATGAGAAGCCACATCCGGAGCGGGGATCAATCTGAGACCAAGAGCTTAAGTCTCAACAAACAAACCAAAAACCAAAATTGTGACCATTTAATAAATAAATGGCAACTGGTGCATTTCAGAGACTTGTCAAACATTGGTACTTAGTTGATGACCAGGAAAAACAATACACTTCATCTCCTGTTCCCATACAGACTTTGGGTCACTGTTGCATCCTTTTTGCCTCTTTAAAGGATTCGAGTGCTGGCCTGCATTCCTCTTTTCGCCAGTTATTTTGTGCAACATGCAGTTCTGGCCTAAAGAATTCCATCTCCTAGCAGCTACCAGGGTTACTTGCAGCCTCAATGATCTTCCTTTGAGAGAGGGAAAAAATCCCTTAACTCTGTAACACAGCCCAGCGATGCATGAGAAGCCTTTGTCAAACCGTAGCTGGGGGAAAAAAGGAAAATAAAAATACCGTTCTCCTCTGGAATGTATCCTAGGACTGGTGAAAAATGCTAATTTTGACAACAGCAGAGTCATTTAAAAATCAAGGCATCTTTCAGCTATATTCGAAATGAGATTAAAAGGAGAAAATAATGATATTCTTGGAATCTAGCAGCATCTTATCCTCTTCAGCTCGGTCCTCCTGGTGCAGGATGCCCTCTTGTTCCTCTAGGAATGATTTGCCTTAGCTCAGCCTGGTCAAGCTTTCCTTCCCTTTGAAGGCTTCAGGCTTTTCTGGATTCCCTGGGAATAGGCTGATGGGAAGTTCCAGACTTCACTCCTTTCTTTAAAAACCCCCAGGGGTGCAGCGTTTTTACTTTTAATTACTCTAAGGTTAGCCTGCACGAGGGTGCTTACCCTATGAGCCTCGACTTCACGGGCTAAACTGGAGGCTCCAGGAGATCAAGTTCAAAGTGAGTCAGAGCGCTTGCAAGAGGCGAGTTTCTCATTCCCAGAGCAGGTCTACACCCTCCGCATCCATCCATCCTCATGCCTCCGAGAGCCCCTCACCCTGCAGCGGGGACACCCCTCTCCCCCAGGGCATCCTGGAAACAGTGGGCCTGGGGGATGCGCTCTGGGGGAAGAGGGTGAGGACCCCAGGCCGCGCCGTGTGTCTCCAGCTCCCACGTCCCCGGGCCGCCCGCGCCCCGAGGCTCCGGGCGGGGGCCCGTCCGCATTCCTATGCAGCCGGATGACGGCCCTGGGGCGCCCCTTCCTCCCCGAGCCGCTGCCAAGGACCGGGGGTGGGGGGTGGGGTGGGGGGTGCGCCCCGTGGGGGGTGCGCCCCAGCCCTCGGCCCCAGATGGCCCGGCAGCCCCGCGCGGGGACATTTTCTCAGGCTTTCAAAAAGAGCACTTTCTTTCCTGCCTAATATTTAGCTCCTTCAAATGCAAATGGAGAGGTTTCGCTCCAAGGTTAGCATAACAATTATGGGAAAAGCTTTAAATCTGATGCGTTTGTTTACACGATGAAAGGCCGGCAGGATCCGAAAGCGCGGAGGCCTCGGCTTTTCAGCGACTATTTTCTAACTGGTGCCCTGCGAGTCAATTTTAGATCACAAAGAAAACCAATTTATAGGACGGTGGAGGCTAATTTTGGAGGGAGTTCGACGTTATTATCTTTTTTTTTTTTTAATGACCGCTGTTGAAAGAGTGATTCCGCCCCCGCGCCCCCCTCCCTTCATCTTGAGGTTTGGTGCGAGGTAATTGGCGTCGGTCACGAGCAGGAAGGTCTTCATTCCTGGGGGACCTGGGGCCCAGGCATGGGGCTAACGCAGGTGGAGAATTGTCCAGAGACTTGGTGGGATTTTGGCCTAAGGTACATCAAAGTAATCTTTCAGTGCACGTGCTGAGGAAGTAGATTTTCTTTTCCATTTGGCTTAGGGGTGTTAGGTAGTTGGAATAGGGAAAAGGAGTCCAAAATGGCGGTGGCTAAAAGACAAGGAAGGGAAAAGCCCGCGACAATAGAACAGAGGAAGGTCAGGGAAGGTCCGAGGACCAGAGTGAGGACTTCAGGGAGAACAGCGCTCCTGGCCAAGCCCACTTCGCATAGGACAGGCCCAGGGGGAAGAAAAAAACATAAAAAGAGGAGCCAAAGGGGCTCTCTCTCTCCACCCACCCCCTCCCCCACGCCGGCGCCCTCCTCCACTCTCTTCTCTTCGAGGATGGGTTCTCCTGCTGTCTTCTAAGTAAAACAGAGCTGTAACACTGAGTTGTCTTAAGAGCTGTGACATCGTCCAAGACTCAAGAGCCGTGACGCGCCGAGAGCCTTAATGTCCGTCACTCCAGATCTTTGCTGTGACGAGACAAAGAACCGAGGAGCATACACTCACCTGACAGGTGGCTTGGTATTTCAAAAACGGTGGTGTGGTTTTAACTACCAGTGATGGGTATCAGACTAAGATTCCAAGGAATGACGTTCCCTCACTGTTGTTCAGTTGCTAAGTCATATTGGACTCTGTCACCCCATGGACTGCAGCTCGGCAGTTTTCCCTGTCCTTCACGATCTCCCGGAGGTTGCTCAAACTCATGTCCATTGAGTCAGTGATGCTAGCGAACCATCTCATCCTCCGGCGCTCCCTTCTCCTCTTGCCCTCAGTCTTCCCCAGCGTCAGGGTCTTTCCCACTGAGTCCCCCACTATAAAACCATTAATTTCCAGACCTTGACAGTGAGAACTGGGTCTTGCCCATTGGAAGTGTCTTAGCTCTGCTGAGAGCAGGAAAGTTGACCATCAAGCCCTGCTGATGGTCAGGAAATCTCAGGCTTTTTTTTTTTTTTTTTAAACTGTCAGACCCTCTAGGAGACTCTTTCCAGACCTTCCTCCTGGGGCCACCGGCCCTCCTACACACCAAGGACAGCTCTTAAATGCCATGCTGTGAGATCTCAGCCTATTAGTGTTCTCAATGTGAGGCCCAGGAGAGAATGAAGACCCTCGGGACCTTGTTAAATCTATTGGCTTCATTGACAATATATTGGAACATGCTTGTAAACACTGCAATCTACAATTCCTGTAACACTGAAAGTTCATGAGTATGGAGTATTTAAGAATATTAATCCATTTGGGGAGGGTTTATTGACCAACATAAATATGTCATTTTCGGTGTGAAGATAAAGCAACAAAGATATTTTGTTTTTCTCATATTCCACAGGTGAACTGAAATACTTTTTCTGACGGTGGGACCAGGGCAAGCGTGAATGGTGTTATTATCAGACAGGTACAAAGCAGTAGTCTTCAACTTGAGTGTTTACCAGAATCACCTGAGGGTCTCGTTAAACCGGATGGCTGGGTCTCACCCCCCAGTTGTTTGATGGAGCAGGTCTGGGGTGGAGCCCAAGAATTTCCATTTTGCACAATTGCCAGGTGATACTGGTCCTCTTCCCCAGACCACACTTTGGAGAACCACTAGCTATAAAGAATCAGAACTGTATCATTTTGAGAGAACCTAGTATGATAAGAGTTTCCTCTTTGCAAGAATAGCTTAGAGAAAAAGAATAGCTACTGCTTGCTACTAGGAGTTAAGTAAGACTGGGGAACTATTCTTAAATGTAAACATTTCTCTAATATAGATTTCTAAGGATTATTGTTGTGTTAGTTGCTCAGTCATGTCCAACTCTTTGCAACCCCATCTATTGTAGCCCTCCAGGCTTCTCTGTCCATGAAATCCTCCAGGCAAGAATACTGGAGTGGCTTGCTATTTTCTTTTCCAGGGGATTTTTCCTAACCTTGTGATCAAACCCAGATCTCCTGTATTGCAGGCAGATTCTTGCCATCAGAGCCAGCATGGAAGCCCAGTAACATTTTGTGGAGTGCTAAACTGGTAATTTAGTATTACCAGATTATTGATTTGGCCTATTTAGGAACTCAAAGTGAAGTGAAGTCTTCCTGAGTAAGAGATGTGTGTTAAAAAAACACTATTTGGTAGGTAAGGGAAGTAAACCCTGAATACTCATTGGAAGGACTGTTGCTGAGTCTGAAGCTCCAGTCCTTTGGCCACCTGATGCAAACAGCCGGCTTACTGGAAAAGACCCTGATGTTGGGAAAGATTGAAGGCAGAAGCAGAAGAGGGTAGCAGAGGATGAGATGCTTGGATGTTATCACGGATTCAATGGACATGAACTTGGGCAAAATCTGGGAGAAGGTGAGGGAGGCCTGGTGTGCTACAGGCCACAGAGTCACAGAGAGTTGGATGTGGCTTAGCGACTGAACAACAACAAGCCAGATAAATGGGTTCTCAGCAGATGGTGGCATATTAATGAAATATGTTTGTTTTCAAATATTCAGATACATGGAGATCCACTGCATAGAACTGGCCTCTTAGTAATCATGTCCCTCTTGTGAATTACCCCATGATATAGTCTCTTCTGGAGTGTTTTCTTTCTCTGAAACCCTGGACTACAGGCTCCTTTTCCATACTAAGACCCCTCTTCAGACCCAAGTGCTGAAATAAATCTTCAAGATGGAAAGATTGAGATGTTCATGAAACCTTAACTGTCTTAAAAAGAAACCTTTAAACCTCCTTTCATTCCATTTGATGTAATCAAACATACTTAGATGCTTATGTTTAGTGTCTGTATTTGATCTTAGTGTCTTCAATATGTGCATTTCCATTTTATTTTAAATTGCATATCCTATGAGGATTTGCAAAATTCTGATTTTTCTTAGTGCCTAGTATGGGGCCATACAGAAATAGATACATAAAATCAACTGATTTTAGTGACAACGATGATGTGTCATTAAATGGCTTGACCTGAAGTTAGGGTCTATTTATGTGCAGCTAAAATATATAGATGAAAATATATCTTTTAAATAAAATCACTTGTCCATGGACACATGTCATGCTAGTTGAGAGACAAGTAGCAAATTTAAATTACCAGAGAAATTTTTCCTCAGGTCGTATTTTTATGTGCATTAATGTATATAGCTCAATGGGGACTTCCACTGGTTAAGACTGCGTGCTTCCACTGTGGGTTCAATCCCTGGTTGAGGAATTAAGATCCCACATGTCACATCAGTTCAGTTGCTCAGTCGTGTCCGACTCTTTGCGACCCCATGGACTGCTGCACACCAGGCCTCCCTGTCCATCACCGACTCCTGGAATTTATTCAAACTTATGTCCATTGAGTCGGTGATGCCATCCAACTGTCGCATCCTCTGTCATCCCCTTTTCTCCCACCTTCAATCTTTCCCAGCATCAGGGACTTTTCTAATGAGTCAGTTCTTCACATCAGGTGGCCAAATTATTGGAGTTTCAGCTTCAGCATCAGTCCTTCCAGTGAATATTCATGTCACATGGCACTGCCAAAAACAAAAAAAGGAAAAAAACTAGCTTAATAAATGGTCTGTAAATCATTTTGTGAGATAAAAAACACCTAAAACTGATATGTTGTTTAATAGGCACCATAACACACTGGACCACACTGGACCACACTGACAAAAGAGCTTCACCAGTGACTAGTTTTGTGGCTGGGTGTGGAGGATAAAGGTGATGCTGTTGAAACAGACCTTGTTGAGTAAGTCATTTTACGCTCTCTCATCTACAAATGAGAGGTATGAGTGATCCTTAAAGTTCTTGCTGGATTACGTGTATAGTGTCTGCTTCGGGTTATTGAAACCACATGATAAATATACATGCATGAGGGTCAGCAGTGGTTTAAACAGGTGACTCTATTATGGTAATATTGTCAACACCTTATAAAATTATTGTGGTCTCCTCTACATATGTTCCAGTCTCCTTGGATTTGTGGGAAATGCTCTATTGATTGTTTTTCATTGTAAAGGAGCCAATTTCTTTGAGCAACTGCTATTTCTACCTGAACATTCAAGTCATTGAGGAGACATTTAATTTAGAAATGGAGCAGAATTTCTTTACCCTTGCTGTTATCCTGTGTCACAGCTGACTGCTTTAGTGCCAATAAAATGCTAGGGGCTCTGGTTTTTACTGGGCAAAAGCTGTGAGTGACAAAGTCATTCCTATTAAATATTAACATTGTTTACTAAGAATATAATTAGAAATAAAATAAGCAAGCATGTAAAATTTGTATCTTAATCATCCTCTGTTCTTGTTCAGGTGTTAAAAAACCATTTTCTTGGTCCTAAACATCGTTAGGGTTTTTAGGGCATTAAGCTGTTGTCAACAGAGAGGCAGTGGACAGTTCTGTAGGTATTTTAAGAGACTTGACTATTTTGGAGATGGAGTGAAGAGCGTGACAAGAAACGGGTGTGTGTCTCTGTTTTGTGAGGTGCAGAATGGAAGTGGAAAACGACAGGATAGATAAGGCTCTCAGGTATTTACTAGTTTGGAAATAAAAGCACGGTTTGAATCCAGTAGGT